TGAAGTGTCTGTCTACGAGAGACGAGGGCATACGAATTATAATGTTTCTATGATAGATATACCGTCCGGAATTTTATTGCGACTCCGAGCACCACTGGCAGCTTTGTCGAACATCGCGTCACGGCAGAGTTCCCTTTCCATCTCCCTCCGGATCTACGCCACCTCGACTTTCTTCCTGGTCGGTTGCAAATCTAATTTGGTGAGTGAAATCAGGACAGCTTTCGCTGGCTTGCGTCTTGGTAAGATCCCAGTACAGTCGAATATGAATGAGCAGGTTTGAAATTCCAAGCACCGCCGGCACGCAGTCGGCAGCAATAAATTGGAGATTGGAGCCACATTGGTAGGTTATGACGTGAAAAGAACCCCATACGCTGGATTTAGATGAATGTAAGCTCCAGGACACATCTATGAGGGAAGTCGACGAACGTTACTAGGGCGGCGCTGTCGATGAAGATTCTCATGATGGACTGCTAATGGATGGGCCACATAAGGGGTGATAAATGGGACCGCGTACGCTGAGGCTTGTTACTCCGAGCATCTTGAGAACCCGGCTGGTAGTCCACAATTTATAACATATAAATCCTGGATCGATGGTTAGTTGTCCGGATTTTCAGAAGATCAATGACATACCTGTTGTGTATGTGGTGGTACTGGTGAAATTCAGGTGAGGAGTACAGCGATTGTGAGCAATTTATGGGACCTACATCGAGCTGAAGAAGCAGATACCCGTTGTCCAACGTCGGAATGCCGCCCGGAAGATGCTATCGTTTGGCGTGTACCCCGATAGCTGATATATAAGGCCAGCGCCAAACGCTGCGCAGATGTCAAGCTAAACTCTTAAAAGAATCAAGGTAATTTTACCAACGAAGCCCATAAGCGCGACAGTGGGGACTATGATGATTCGGGTGTGAAACGCCCAAACCACCCAGAGACGATGAATCTAAAATATCCGTTGCGCAATTTAAGAGCAAGAATCACTTTAAAGCGGCGGGCCACGTACGAGAAATAAATCCCCGATGAACAATGCCGCGACAAGGAATACATATTTCAGAACCTCAGTGGGGTGAGAAAGATCTGCATAAAAGATCTGGGGACCGGGTCCAGCTTCCTTGAAGGCAAGAAAGAGACGTATGACGTTGAGGATCCAATGCTACAATGTATAGATTTCAGCACGCGACAAAAATGGAAAGGGGCACGCACAGAGGTGATGAATACAAAGAGCAAAAGCGCTCCAAACACGAGAGGAGAGACAAGCTTCCGGCGAGAGGTGGTAGGTACCCCAGTGAGCTGCTCCGAGTCACGGCGATCCGTCACCTTGAGGTAGAGTGCGAGTAAAAAGAGAACGAGGTATATCCCATATAACAGACTCTCAAGCACCACGACGGCAAGATTCGCGCTGAAGAGTGGGACAGTGGACATGACGGTGTGAGCGCAGCACTCCGATTGCCGTCACGGTATATATGTGCGGACAGACAATCATCTCGAGGCAATGCGAACTATATTAGTAACGTAACAACCGTTTGGACAGCCACTTTAGCTTCTTGTAACTTGCCGTTGTAATCGCCTGGATTCTGCATGAGAAGACTCAGTGGATGAGCTCGGCTTCAAGGAAGAGATATAGAGTTCAGAGAGGAGGATGGACCTGGGCATCTCTCTCTTTCAAGCATCATGATGTCCGTCTCAAGCCTTTTATAAGCTCCGTCTTCGGCTCATCAGCATCAGCGCATGACAGATCACAAAGTCCAAAATTATACTCAGTCGGATACTCAGTCAGCCAAGAGCGGCATTGGTCAGCATTGGGCTCACGCCCGGATTCAATGCTGGCCGACGTACTTCCAACATGAACCACTCTGTTTTCGCTGGATAAAGCGGGTAAGGCCGACGGGCACATGATTTCAATTCATGACTCTTTCGACTGGCGGAATGCTCGTTCCGACAATTTATTCTGGCTGGACGGAGCACCTAGGTAGCGGTGGGTAAGTAGTTTCACAGTTCAACTTTTGACCGACTGTTCACGAGTGGCACTGCACAGACTGTCGATCACAAAAGGCCCAACTCTGGCGAAGAATGTCAAAATCACACTTTGAGTCCAGACCGTCCGGCGTCCATTGCGTCGGTGGAGAGACGCGTTCCAAATTCGGAACATCACCCGGCGTTTCCGGACCATGACGTCATTCCCCCATGCTGCATAATAAAACGCACCAAGCCGCCAACACGCGCTCCACCCAGCCCCAGCTCCAGCCCTTCCAAAAAACCCCACCACCATGTTCATGTTCATCTTGCGTGTGGCCCAAGCCCTTCTGGCTCTGGGAGTCCTCGTAACCACCGCGTTCAGTGCGTTTGCTTTGCTCTTCAGGTTACATACCTAAAACATCCTCGTAGTTGCAAACCAGTACGACATGGGAGTCGGAGGCTCACCCTCCCAGGTCAACTTCCTCCTCTTTGCCAGCGTCTGGACCCTCGTGCTTGCACTCCCATACCTCACGTTCTCCTACCGCTACTTCCCCGACGCCGCACACAAGTTCGGCATCTTCGCTGCCGAGTTCGTCACTATGGTCTTCTGGTTCGGTGGATTCATCGCCTTGGCGGTCTTCACCACTGCTTTCCTCGGCTGTTCTGCACCAGTGTGCGGGGCCGCGCAAGCTGCGACGACTCTTGCAGCCATCGAATGGTACGCCCTTTCATCATCTCGTATTCCAAGCCTATTGCTGATTCGCCGGGTTATTATGCAGGGTGTTATTCATGATTTCCACCGTCATGTCCATCATCCACCTTTGGAGGACACGAAACAGTAACGACGGACGCCCAGCACCCGAGATGGAAGCCAGAACGGTTTAATCAAGATGGACGTTCACGACGTTTGACGATTCTGCTATGTTTACCGCTATCGCTATGCAGTACACCTCATGTAACCATAATCTACCATACATACCCTTCAATAATCGCTTAGTTATGGCAGTGATGTTGTTGTAAACTGCACCGTGAGCTACGAAACTCACCGAGAATAACATTTCTTTCTAAAAAAAAACGGCATGTCGGAAGCGTTCACATTCATAAAAATCTATACCCGGTTTGTATCGTTCTTACACATTTATAAATGCCTGTGTACAGTACGTCGAACGAAGTCGGTGCAGTACCATCGGGGATGAAAATACCTTGAACACAGGTATGAGCGACATTTTCGAGGGAAAAGAGGATGAAACAATCTAGACAACGCTACTGGCCTTCCTTGGGTTCAGACTTCAAATTTCCAGATTTTTGGAATAGCGATAACGGTCCGAGTATGCGGAGTAAGGCCTTCCTAGTCTTTGATAAGTAGGTGTTCGTGGCTTTGTGCCTCGTAAGAAGGCTCGGTAGCGGACGGTCCGCATCTGCATTTAGTACATGGTGATTAGGACCGTTCAGCAGATTAGGACCGTTCAGCAGATTAGGCTCGTTCGACTCGAGCCCGAGCTGGCACGGTCTTCTTCACTGTCAAGCCTTTTAAAAAAAAGCAGGCTAGAAAGCAGCTCACATATCCTGAGTCAGGAGGGTAGGAAAGGCTCGGTAGCGGGTGGTCCGCATCTGCATCGTATATCAAGGTCATTCTCTGGTTCAGCAGAAATCCGCTCGTTCGACTCGAGCCCGAGCCACTGTGGTCATGTTCCCCATCTTTTTTTTAGGTTTTGTTTCTGTAGTGCCCGTTGAATCAACTCCACCCGAATTTTAATTCAATTCTGCCTACTATTGGGGACTGGGTAGTTGACCAGTCAGGGTAGTTGACCACCCAAAGAATAGAGTTCTGTACACACAAGGATATGGCTAGGTTGCACTCCGAGGAGGGAATAGGGCCTCAGACGCCAGTCTCTGTCGAATTTCGAGGCAAAGTGATGGGTTGATCGAAAGCTGTGCTGCCGTTCGGTGCGGGCCGACACGTGAGAACATCAATATCTCAACTCCGGATAGCCTTCGCCGCTTGTTTCTCGACCAATTCTTGGTCAATCCACGACTTTGGGGCCTCGTTTTACTAACCTGTTTCAGGGCTCCAAACAGAGCCACATGCCTCAAGCCAGACAACCTTAACCACCTGCACAGCCGGAGAACCGTCCGAGGTACAGGTCTGGGATTGGGCATGGTCTCTTGTCTCACTAAATGCTTGACCCTGATACATATCCCAATATTATATCCTTTTTTTTCCTCTCTCACCAACCTTCAATACAGTGAATCATCCAAATTCTATGGGTCGGACAGCAAGATTTTTTGTAGGGGGTGGGTAGTTCAAGTAGTGGAGGTAGGTACTCAGATATGTCTGTATCCATCTTATGAAGTCATCTGTAACTTTTTTTAGTCTACGGTGCCCTCTGACCGTTGCGCTGGGCTCGGTTAGTTACCAACAGTAATCCTGCCTTTTGCTCTCTCCTTCTGAATTAAATATTTAACCCCCACGAATAGCTCTGAATTTGGGTTTCAAGGCATAGAAATGTCAATTAGTACCTCCAATTGGACATCAAATATGCCGCAACCGCTAATCCGATCCCTAACCGTGTCTTTGGGCCAGTGGTCAGGTACCCTGAATTTGGCTATTTTTGTCATGCCAGCGGAGAAAATTCACCATGGCCTCAAATCATCACCAAAATTTGACCCAATGGGTTTGATCGGTTGGTAGGATGCATGCCTTCATTATTAACCCGTACGGACAGTGTAATGAAACTAGTGGTCTTTGACCGTAGGCCAAAAGCCTTAGGTGGTCAAGTACCCAGTACTTAACAGTACCTCCCTTACATTTCCCTCATCAGAACTTACCTGCAAGCTTAGTTAGAGACCAGCATATATTCAAGGTCAAGAGGACGGTAGGAAGGCTCGGTGGCGGGTGGCCCGCATCTGCATCCTGTACACATCTGTCCCTGAGGTTGGCAGAAATTCGCTCGTTCGACTCGAGCCCGAGCCACTAGACGATTGCTAGGTCTTTTTTGGGTTTCAGGTAGAAATTAACATATTCTGTGTCAAAGCAAAGGTAAGAAGGCTCGGTAGCGGAGGGTCCGCATCTGTATTCTGTGCACATTTGACCTTCCGGTCTGCAGGAATTCGCTCGTTCAATTCGAGCCCGAGCCACTGCTGCGTGTCAAATGCTCCTTTTATTTTTAAAGTAGGCTCGAAAACAGGATATATTCTAGGTCGAAGGAAGGCAGGAAAGGCTCGGTGGCGGACGGTCCGCGTCTGCCTACAATTGGGCGCGGCATTGGTAATGCCAATTTCAGCAGAAATGAGCTCGTTCGATTCGAGCCCGAGCCACTATGCTTACATTTCCGTCTTTTGTGAAAAATTTTGCACAGCGCCGCCGGTTGGAACATCTCCTCGGCGCGCGCTTCCGTTTGATTGCTTCCTTACAAGGACATGTACCTCCGAGTGGCGGGAACACACCTGCATCCCACTCTCCGTGTATCTCACCATGTACATCAGCCGAAAAACTGAGAAGCCGGAAAAAAGTAATTCGAAAACAGGTGCGGTGCGTATAGACTAGCGGTAGGTATCGCAGTGGATGACGGAGGCTAAAACGCGCAGCACGACCAGCGGGAGCTGGGAGCCGCGGCGGCGTAAAAATGTGTATCAACATGTACGGCTGGTGCGTAATCATGGTGGAACATGAGGACTCGTGAAATGTGTCAACCAATGCGGGCGTGCGGGGTGTGATGTGTGATATGATACATGCGTGCGGTCGTCGAGATGTTACATATGTGTGGGGTGGGGTGGGTGGGAAGATGCAATTCTAATTGGAATGCGAATGCAAATGGGATGCCTGGGAGAAGAAGAATTGTGAATAACCCGAGGCTGGCTCGGGCAGTTGTTGACGGCCTACGCGTGGGCGAACGACAGTGGCGACGGCCTGCGCGTCGGCGGCAGCGGCGCAGTGGGATCAACAACGCGCGCGCGCACCCGGGCGCGGACACCGGTGTCCAGAGAAAGGTGCGGATCGTTGTGGCGCCACAGGCACCGCTGCGACGAGCCCGGGGAGGGGGAGCGTCTCAGGCGTACCATCGGAACCGGAGTGGGGGCGCACGGCGCGGGAGACGAGGAGGAGTGGGATCGGGACGGGGGTGGAGACGGGCGCGGGGAACCGGACATCTGAGGTAGGAAAGGACTGTGGCGCTTCCCGAGAGGAGCACAGACGCGGGGCGCGCTGCGGGCGTCCAGCACGGGGCCGACACCGAGGCGAGGCGGTGCCAGCCCTGGCGCACGAGAGAGGCGCGGAAGCGCGCGGCGAGGAGCGCGTCCTGCGCGTCCAACTCACTCTCACCCGCGTCCAGGCCGAGAGGCTCACCCTCATTGACAGAGCGTTCGCGCAAGCCATGCGAGATGCTGCACTCAATCAGGGCGGCGAAGCACAGGTCCGCCCGTGCCGCGCTCACGCGCTTAGCGGGTTTCAGCCGACGGGGCTTTGATATCGGTGCCGTCGGAGGCGGGGTGTAAGGGATGGACCTCGGCAGCAGATGGAGTGATCCGGATCACATGGTTGATTAGGGATTAGATTAGATATGAATGTTCAACGGTCTCACACTGGAGATTGCCAAATTTATGCACAGCCGAGGTACTACTCGACCGCTAAAGTATCAAATTCGACAATAATCACACTGAAATCTAAGTTGGTTCAACTAGTTTCAGTCTGCGAATCAGCTTTGATTTCAGTGTGATTTATTCCGAAGTTGATACTTTGGTGTTCGAGTAGCACCTCGGTTGTGCCTAAATTTGGCAATCTTGCCTGTTGCCAGGGAATGAACAGCCAGACATAATTTTGCCCTTGGAGAATGTTTACAACTAATGGCAGAACCGAAGGTGCGGCCAAAAAATTCCCAATTTGGCCTGTCCCGAAGGAATTCCCCGTAGCGTGCTCGGTTTCTGTACAATTCGGATAAAAAGTAGCTAGATCTGTTGTACTAACTCATCCGCAATTAGTGATAGAGCCAGAATAACGAAAATATTTTATTTTGGTTGTCCTGACAGTCGGGGGCCCTTTCCACGATCAATTGAGGCTAGCAAGCTCAAACCTTGACCAATCAGGCTGATATCCTTGGAGGCATGATTTATGAGTGCTAAAAGCATCCTCTCAGAGTGATTTAGGCAAGAGGGTGCAAAAATGTGAAATTTTAAATATAGTGCCAGTCCGACCCAGTTTTGGATGAGGATTCCGAAATTCAACCTCCCAAGGTGAGTGCAGCCGTTGTGGTGTTAAAGGCCAGAAGATTACCACATTTGGACGTGGGGGTTAAGCGACAGCCAATTAAACAACAGGAATAATCACGTGATCGCGCGGAATCTGCCGAAATAGATCTTGAATTGAAAAATTACTTACTGTCCTGGAAACTCATCAGGGTTCACCTAGAATGGCTCAAACAATGTATTTGCTCAAAGTCAGGCCCCTGGGACATTTTCTACCAGCAAAAAGCCCAAGCTGAAGACCACGTGCTGCTTACAAATCGCTTACATAGGAGGGGAGGGGGTACCCTTGACCATCTGAAAAAAAAAAAAAAAAGACACTATGTAGATTTTTCAGGTTTTCAGACCCTCTTGGATTTAGGTATATCTATTTTTCTACTGTCTCCAGCTCATCGATAGGCATTTTGACATGGGAAATAAATAATTGTCCATATCTCCCTGACCTCTGCACTAAATTGCTCTGAGAGGATGCTTCTAGCACTCATAAATCATGCCTCCAAGGATATCAGCCTGATTGGTCAAGGTTTGAGCTTGCTAGCCTCAATTTATCACGGAAAGGGCCTGACTGTGTAAGACTTGAATCGAGTCTACAATAGGGGATTCGTCATACACATGCCCTGGTGGGAGATAAGGTGTATATAGTGGCTGCCTGCTGGCAACTGAAGGGTGAAAGTATTGAGAAAGGCTAGGAGAGGAAGGGCTTAATAGCTAGAAGCCCATATTTGAGAGTGCAATAGCGTAGCGTGATATATGGTCACCTAGTGTGTAGAGCCTCTTCTCGGAGTGTATCAACAAGTAAGGCTTGGCGCAAGGCAAAGGCTTGAGAGTGTAGTGAATTGTACCGCCTAATGCCTCTTCCTGGAGGAACTCAACAGGTTTCTCAGAGCAACTCGATGAGATATGGGAGGCACGATGGCGGTTTGAGATAAGAAGTAACGATGATCACATGCTACTACTGAGCACATGACTTGTAGCTAAAGAGTAACCATAAAAGTAAGTAAAATATGTAAATGATTCCTTACAGACTGTCAGGACAACCAAAATAAATTATTTTCATTATTCTAACTCTATCACTAATTGTGGATGAGTTAGTACAACAGATCTACAGTAAATCACCGCCCATTGCACATCCCTGCCCATTGTAACATTTTTTTTTTCTTGCTCGGTAACCCCCTCAACCCCCCCATAGACATATAATGCGTGAATCTGAGGGTATTTTCCTTACTCCCAAAATATTCCCAGTTCCTGAGATACAGGCCATTTTTGCCATAAATAAAATCCCCTGCAACTGCATTGAGAGATTTGGACTTGTACCAGCCTGGAAAAATATTAGGGATGGAGAAGACATTGAATTATATAGCATACAAAAAGTTTAAGCTGATCCATCAAGTTTTTCACCTTGAACAGCGCATGAGAACAACACGGTGATAAGCCGTGTACCAAACACGGGTGTAATTTTGTGATTTGCACCTTTACACCCACTTAACACGCATACTCCGTAACTATAGAAGCTATCGTGAGCTCCGAATGAGTAAGCTTAAAGCCACAGGGCTTAGGTCTCCCTAGGACACGGATATATTGCGGTACCTCTACTATGGGACTATAAATATGACCTGACCGAGACTAGACTGACTAAAAACATGCTAATCTCTATTCGAGATTAGGTGTCTGCCAGGCTAATAACAAGGAGATGGGAAGGAACTATAAACTCACTTGCAGGCGACCTCAGTCCACCAAACCGGGCTAGATTCAAGGGTTGTTTGCCCATATTTGACGATTTGGATCAGCGTGTTGGATCACATGATAGGCTAGCAGGTCTGCCCGAAAGAGCAGAGCCGTCGGCAACGAGCGGTGGCTGTGTAAAATCATGATGGCTGTTGAACTGGAGAGAGAACATGTAATATCTCAACAACCACGGGGGCTACAGACACGATCCTGGTGTCTACAGGGAGCTACAACACAGACGATGAATACTGACACCCGGTGAAACGGTGCACCAATGTATAGGCTGCAAAATGTAGCTAGATATAGATAGAAATCTCCGAGGAGAAATCACACTAAAACCAACCAACACACACAACACACTACACACAACCAATACGATGTGCTAATACTTGAGTTCGGGTCACCCTGAAGTATACAGGTAAGATTGATCCTTCTCTCGTATAGTTTGAACAATATCAACTCTAAGAAAGCCTTGTTAGGACTTCCGCGGAGCACAGTAGTTATAAATAACCACTAAAAGTTGACCACTCTGATACCGCGGAGGGTATTTTCGGGGTGTATGGAAATATGAAAGTGTCCTCGGACTACCAACTTATGGGTCCTCGGGATCTCTGCACAATTGTACGACCGTCCTACTAAGGCGGGGAGCGATTCCAATACAAAGGCAAACTGCGACTGTCCTGCTCAACGGGGACGATTCCAACAGTCACTCGGATACGACCGCCCTGCTATACGGGAGCGATTCCAATACCCTGGCTACAACCGTCCTACTAAAGCGGGGAGCGATTCCAATAGCCGACCTTGCCACTTAACAAGGTTTGTTTAACGGTTTCTCAACTCCGCGGAGCGAAGCGAGGTGTAGAAGGCTTAAGATGAACTTAAAGCTTTTTAGAGCCAACAAATATCAAAGCTTCAATTTAATGAATCTACACAAAGAGATGTTTTATATCACAAATCTCCGCGCTGATACAGAGGACACCGAGGCCGGTTAATGGCAGGTGCCGTTCGACTACTGTCTGGGCACCTCCGCGGGCAAGGATGAACTGCTGTACTGCGGGTTTTCCATGGGCTTTTATACTACTTTCTAAATAAATTACAAACGGCAGATGTGTAACAGAGAATAAGAGAGACTGAGTAATACGGAGCGGAATAGGAAGAAACGCGCGGCCAAGGCC